CCTCGGCGATCTGCAGTTGCTGATGTGATGAATACGGGTCAGCAGCGCTGGATATAAGATAATTAAACATGTTTATTAGCAATTCTGAGCGTTCTAAATCCAGCACAAGCTAGGATGCACACTGCAAACCTCCTGCGTGTGAGTATCTTTTAAATGCTTCTGACGATTATAAAATACTATTTCATAATAATTGTAGAGTATTTATATTTAATTAATTCTGGCAACTTTGGTATTCCAAAGGTGTCACACATCACGGTTTTAAATCTTTCCACACCCGACAAATTACAAAATAAAATAGAAATAATCCACATGAATAAATATCTATTGGATTACATCCAAAACGTCATTTTCCACATAGCTGACACTAGCCCGCCAAACCCTGGCTAACAACTGAAACCAGCTAGCCCACAGCTAGTTAGCTACTATTCCTGAAAAGTTCGGTTTTAACATCAAAACTACAAGTTACTTACACAAAGAAGCTAAACCGGAGGGTTCATTAACATTACCATTACGAAATAAAATAATATAGATTACTTTAGGGCTAACTAGAAAATATACCAGAACTGATGGAGGGCAAATTAAAACATGACTGACCTGCTTGGAGCATCAAGCTAACTGAAGGTGGACTCAGACGTGCAACAGCGAAATACACCTCCGGGTACAAAATAAGGAACCAATTTACATATGAAAAGAAATATCATTTTGGTGAAGTTCACAATAACAGAAAATATAGATTTTCAAGTATACAAATAACCAAAATAAAGAAGTCATAGAATAGCAATTTTATTTTAATTAAAAAATAAAAATAAAAACTTTTTTTATTGTTGCTATTTATTGGGGGGGACATTTTGAGTGTATCTGAATATTGGGGGGATGTGTCCCCCCCAATGTATATGGTGAATACGGCCCTGGCTTAAGAGATGTTCTAATATTGTTCTACGACATAAATAACATCAGTAAATACCCCACTGGTGAATTTCTGAAGGTTTTACTGGTCCAAAAAAATTCGGATGCTAACAAGTTGCTTAAAAACGACTATAGCTTATGTCATCACGCCGAACGTTAGCACCTTTAGCTAAGCGTGGTGACGTAGCTTTTTTCTTCTGGATATCTGAATTTACACTTCAACTATTGTAAACATAGTGGAGTTAATATGTGGAGATTATCCTGCTGAACCAAACGTGTAAGTATCTTAAATGTGTGTTAGCCACAGAGCTTATTTTCCGGAATATTCCAAAATCCAAAGGAAAAACCCCATTTGCTTTCTGTCAAGGTAGCCCTTCTGATGCTAACTAATGGGCCGGTCCACAAAAGCACGTCATCCCCTGCACCACACTATTTGTCACCACTTCTAACCTAATGTTGAGGAAGAGGTGAAAGACAGCCCTTTATAAGTGTTTAAGTGTGAGAACATCGCCAGTCTGCCCTCAGCTGATAACATCATGACCACAATGTGATGACTGATCTCAGATTGGCACCGTCACTGATCGTTAGATGGTGGAGTTGGTAGCATCTCACAGAGCTCTTGTTTCTTGGCGGTTTTGGTTGACGTACAGCAGACAATATATCTTTCTTTTTTTATCATGAATAGATGGAGCATCCTCAGTTTATTCAACTTTTTATCAGTTTGTCTTCAGGCCAGATGGCGGTTTGGATGAACACTGGCTGGCAATAGAGATTTAATTTCAGTTGAGTAAATAAAAACCAAACATTGAAATGAAAATAGATGTAAATGACATACAAAAGTGACTCACTGTGTGACTTATTCGATCAATTAAATGATGGGTTTGACAAAGCAGAGAAAAGAGGGCAAAGGTCAACAAACCCAAATGTCATGGTTGGTGCATCTGAGAACAACATGTGTTTTTGAGTAAATGCCGACTAAATATTATTTTTTAAGAATTGTTCATCTATTCATTATGGCCACTAGTATGAAACAGATGGAAAACCATACATATGTATGGAGTTAAGTGTGTGTCTGTGTGTGTGGAAAAGTCCTCAAGAATATATGGGCATAGATATGTCTCATAATTATTTGTGTGAACATAAAATAATTTGTGTGTAAATATGTGATTTGTAAATGCAAAACACCATCCACAAATGCATTTAAAAGATTTGCAAACTCACAAATAAATGTGCAAGTGTAAAACGGATCTGCAAATACGCTAAATATTTTCACAAATAAAAAAAAGATCTGTGAATATCTCTTTAACATTTACAACTTTCGATCAGGCATTTGTGAATCCATTTTGTATTTGCCGACCAAAAATGCGCTTGCGGATCTCAAATCTCTGCTCGCGGATCTCACATTTCTGCTTGTGGATCGTCTTTTTACACACACGGAATTTTGAGACATATTTTCCGCGGGTCTCGGCTCAAATCTACTCGTGTCACTCGGTGATTTTCGGAAACCACGTGATGGCCCGCTGATGAGGACATTTCCGCATGATTTCAAAGTAAGAGCATGATGGTTTGTTTAATGCGCTGTTTTTTATTATAATGAACAGCGGAACGTTAGATGCATTCTTACTTCACCATCATCATCATCATCATCATCATCATCATCATGTTATAGTGATACAGTTAGTTTGTGTTAGTTTATTGGTTCAATATAGCATAGTAGCATATCGCATATCGAGCACTTTCGTTGATGTTGAAGTACAGGCTATATATAGCCTACGCCACTTTCGGGTCCCGGGGGAGCAGCTGGCAGCCCAGATCAAACTCTTTCTTCATTGTGTGTTGTGTATTCAGTCAAGCGGGTCAAAGTTACAAAGCACTTCACATCTTATTAATCGGCCTAATTTTACCTTACCAGTGTAGTAATAAAGTAATCTGTAGAAAAGCACCGTATTTAGGTTAGCCTTCAGAGTAAGGCTACATTAAATGTTATAATATTCATCGTGTCCTTTCTACTGTATATGCAGGGGTGCACATAACTGGTACGCAGGTACAAATGCCCGGCAACAATCTGAAATGCGTACCGTCACTTGTGTCACAAAGCGCATTTGCATACCGACGTAGGCTACTTGTGAAGCTTTTCCAGAAGACGGTTAGATCACCGGACGACAGAGTCGGTCTCCGTGTGCACAGACAGGGCTGCTGTTAACGTCGGTCAGTACAACGGAATTGTGCCAAAACTACGCCAACCGGCTGCGGAGGGAGACACTCCCCCCCCCCCCCCCCTTCACTGGAGAACTGCGCTAAAACAGCTGATCACAACGTTCACGCTCTGTGGTCATGAAGTACTCCACTAGCCCCCCGCTGCCTGCTGCTCCCCCTGGGATTGACTTCAACATCAACGAAAGTGCTCGATATATGCTGTATTGAACCAATAAACTAACACAAACTAACTGTATCACTAAAACATGATGATGATGGTGATGGTGATAAAGAATGCATCTAACGTTCCGCTGTTCATTATAATAAAAAAACAGAGCATTAAACAAACCATCATGCTCTTACTTTGAAATCATGCGGAAATGTCGTCATCAGCGGGCCATCACGTGGTTTCCGAAAATCACCGAGTGACACGAGCAGATTTTAGCCGAGACCGGCGGAAAATATGTCTCAAAATTCCGTGTGTGTAAAAAGACGATCCACAAGCAGAAATGTGAGATCCGCGAGCAGAGATTTGAGATCCGCAAGCGCATTTTTGGTCGGCAAATACAAAATGGATTCACAAATGCCTGATCGAAAGTTGTAAATGTTAAAGAGATAATCACAGATCTTTTTTTTATTTGTGAAAATATTTAGCGTATTTGCAGATCCGTTTTACACTTGCACATTTATTTGTGAGTTTGCAAATCTTTTAAACACATTTGTGGATGGTGTTTTACATTTACAAATCACATATTTACACACAAATTATTTTTATGTTCACACAAATAATTAAGAGACATACCTATGCCCATAAGAATACATCAGTGAAAAGTTATCAACAGTTAAAGCAATGCAGCATTGGCCTCTAGTGGACAAAAAGTAGATTGTTTTATACAGTACATGCTATTCTCAGTGGAAATACTGGCCTTTGTGACAAAAAATGTATTAGATATTACATTATCAGAGTGTTGTTGTTGATGCTGGTGCAAAATGTATGCAATATGTTACTGTTGTCACAAAATAAATATGAAATAAAAATGCTTTTTGTTGTGGAACTTTTTTTAGAAGCAATTTAGTGAATCACTCTGAAGTTTTGAGCGGATACTTGTCTTTTGGCTGGTGTTTTGAGAGATCTGTAAGTCATTATAAGGACTCAGAATTATTATCAGAATGATTGCTAAGTGTCTCGAAAAAAAAAAAGAATTCTTTCTTCAAAAGAATTATGAAAGATTTTCTCAGTATCTTGAAATAGTGACTCAGAATCTTAAAATGATAACTTTAAAATATGACTTCATTAAAAAAATCTCAAGCTTTCTACTTAATTGCTAAATTTAATATATCAAAGGAATGCCAATTAATCCAAAAAGATAACTTATTATCTAGAAGTAACCACAAATGTCCCATCAATTGTGAGCAAATTAGTATCTTAAAATACCAACATAGTATCTCAAAATAGTGATAAACCTTCTCCAGATAATAACATTGAAGTAATGACTCATGGTGGTTTCTCATTTTGAGATATGATGTCATTATTAACATTCCAACATTTTTTTGACATGTAAGCTATTGTTTTGACATAAGTAGTCATTAAGAGAAAGTTTAGATTCATTTTGAGATACTAAATTGTAATTTTGTGACACTAAATCATAATGTCTGAGATACTATGTCATTATCTTGGGATGCTAACTCAAAATGTATGAGACAGTTTCTCATAACTTTGAGATAATAATTCATTATTTTTGATGTATTTAATAAATACTATTTATTATTTACAGGCAGAAATGGGCTTCCAATCTGCACAAGTTATAATCCAGTTTGAGCCAAACACCTGTGTAATTAAGACCAATTAACGATCAGGTGTGTTGGACGGAAGTATACAAAGTCCTGCTGCTGGTTCCTCTGCCCCAGTGCGTTTGTGCTGCAGAGAGAAACTCTTATTTGAAATGCATTTAAAACGAAATGGACACTTATTCATCGTCCTTCTCATTTACACCATCACAACAATAACTTTACCTGTTAATTCATCCTCAAACTCTGCTCTTCACGGTGAAAGACGAAGCGTTTTAACGACTAAAGGCCTCAGAGAGCGGATAAACCTCGACTCAAAACGGGAAAAAGAGTCGAGAATACTCCCTTTTCTAAACTCCGAAATCCAAAACAAGACTGGATTCAAACTACAAACAAACATGGCGTCTTCTTTGATTGGAAACATCTTCAAAGACCGCAACAAACCGAAGCGAAGCGACCCTCCGAATGAAGAATGTAACGAAGGGGAAATCGAGTTTTGCACTCCGGGAAAGTTTTATATTCCTGGACAACTTGAAACAAACCCGGTGGTGGGTCACCAGACAGATTCTGCTAGAGGTAAGATACTTGTATAACTTGTTCTACTTCTCGTGTTAAGACTTTTTTGAAATTATTATTACTTTGACTTTTTTTGTACTGTCTTGGTTTCTCTAAAATATATATTTTTGTGATTATGTTTTTTTTTAAATGTGCTATAACTAATCTTACCTGCCTAAAACTATACCAAATTGAAACACAAGCGTTGAACTATATTTTTTAAATTAAAATCCCCATTTATTATCAGGTTAGTAAAACAATTATTGCTTATGGGTTGCTCTATACTTTATAAGGCAAGACCTCCCGTCAATTGGATTTTATTTTTTTTAAAGCATGTGAAACCTTACATTTTTGGGATCTACTTTGCAAAATCATATAGCTGTATTTCAAATACTTTTAGTTTTAACTTTTATTTTTGGAATTGTGTTACTTCCAAGTTTCACCATTGCCTATTTTACGCATTACAATTTTAACTGAACACCTTAAAATAGTTGTAATCACATCTAGTAGTAGTTTGGTCCTGTGCCACAGATTTTGTTCATTATAGCTGCAAAGAAACACCTAATTTTCAATATATCTAATTAGCTTTTCCCAACAAGGATTATCCACATTTTTTTTTTACGAAAAATGTTTTTATTCATCACAGACGGAAAACTAATTTAAGGAATTCATATTACTTCATAACATTTTTGAGAATAGCCTATCTTTTGTACATTTGGCTGACACAGTATTCCATTCAGTGGTTTTATTTCATTGGCTGATGTCCACTATGTTGACCAAGGTTCTCTCTCTCTGACTGCCACCTACTTTGCAGTAAATTGAGAACGTGCACGCTTGAAATGTCTTCTATACCTTGATTTACAGGGATTGTGTGAACTGTTTTAATCTTAATTTATGATTCTGCAAATTGTGTTTATATTACTTGGAGGCCTTTTTGCTCCACTAAACTACAGACACGGACACTTTGTAATCCCTGTGTACTCTGGTTTGTTTCTGTCCTCCAGTTCATGCTGAGGACAGCTCAGAGTTCAGAGGTCAGAGGCTCAGTGCCTCAAAGGAGAGCTGGCGGAAGCTGAAGCCAGTCGTGGATTGTGGATATGACGCCATGACCCTCACAGTGAGATGGAGACGATCCGTACAACTGCAGCTGAGCCGGGGTGAAGACACTCACCTTTTGGATATTTTATTAGAAATTCAATTTACAGATATATTACCCAGTATGGTAGCAGCCCGGCCTGCCGGGGTCTATTTTCTTATCTTAAAAGTGAAATTAAAGGTATAATGTCTAAAAACGACTTTAAATAGGAGTTCTGTATCCAAAATGTTTACAATAACTTTCAAACCTAGAGAAATACCAAGTTATGGTAATGATCCGTATTACTTGATCGCCTGTGATGGAGACGGATACCCCTTTAAACATATATCTGTGGCCATCTGTAAAACATCAATTGACATTTATATTGAGTTTCCCGCCACATTTTGACAACTATTTTCAATCTTTGTTGCTTTCAACGGTATATTTTACAACCCGATGAATGATTTTAGACATGGTACATCTGGTGTCTTTGTGTCTTTGTACATATTTTATCTTTATTCAAGTAATAATTAGTCATTTTCTCACTGTACTTTCTATTCTCATTATCTCGCTTTCATTGAAATGCTTTTTTTTGTATATTTGTAATAGTTTTTTAAAATAGTTTATATATTTTTAATGGCTGATTCTGACATCAAAGTGTTCCGTTAGATAGATAAGTACTTTATTGATCCCAATTTGTGAAATGTTTGCGTTGCAGCAGTATAAAAAAAACACAAGGTAATGTACATAAGAGAAACTAAGACACAGAAATAAAATAGCATTAAAAAAATAAAAAAGGGTTTAGCACAATTAATCAAAACGATATCAAAATCGCTAAATGGACTCGTGCAATACAACAAAAAATGTTAGCAAGCAAAATGCAATATCTGTTAAAATGCTTAATTTTTAATAACATTTGTTTTGGTGTCTGTGTCTCAGTGAACGAGTCGTCGGTGCCTCTGAGCCAGCCTCCTCCTCAGTGTGGATACTCTGTGCATAACACATGGAGAGACCTCAGCCTGATCGCTCGCTACGACGCCTGCCACGTCAAACAGGAGGTAACAGATCCATACATTTCAATCTAGACCAGGGGTGTCCAAACTACGGCCCGGGGGCCAAATGCGCCCCGCGGACCATTTTGAATCGGCCCTCGGCAAATAAAAAAAAATGTATAATGGTGGTGGCCCACAAATGAAACTTGAGCTTGTCTTGTATTGTACTTCTTAAATATATCTGTAAACATATTTTACACAGTAGCATTTATGTGTTTAATAAGCCCAATTTCAGTCAATTTAAGTTGGAAACATTTTCTAACAAATCTAAGTTGATAAGAAAAAAGCCCAATAACTTATTTAAATAGCAACCTTGAAATATACCCTATTTCCTCTTATTATAAGCAATCTGAAGCTTCTGTTTCAAGGAATGAGCTGCTCACAAAATAAATGAAACCCTCTGGAAAGCTGTGATTTAGGCTGCAGCATAATTTACTTACATTTGATTTATTTTACTAACTTATAACTTCAATTATGAGGCAATAAACCTGACCTCTAGTGAGTGACCCAGTCCTTCGAATATTTTTTCTGTATGTGGCCCTCGATGAAAAAAGTTTGGACACCCCTGATCTTGATGATAATGCATAGATTTTAAAACAGTTTTTTAAAGGGTCAGGGTCATTATTGCACATTTTAAGGGTATAAAATCTCTAGCTGAATTACTTACATTTCAATGTCTTTACAGTGTGAATAAAAGTTTCCTCGTACCAAACAAAATCCGTTTTTAGAATCGGATGAATCATACCTTTTAATGTAGATGACTCAGTCCACTCTCATGTCACCTTGACAAGAAAGTTGGGGGCTTTAATGGAGCGTTGACTCAGGACTTTTTTAACGAGTAAAACCTGGTCTCTTAATTATAGATGCATCTTCTCTAATAGATGTCAAACGTTTTTGCTCACGGCCAGAGGTGGGAAGTAGTGGAGTACAAATACTTTGTTACTGTACTTAAGTACATTTTTCTGGTATCAGTATTTTACTCCACGACTTATTTTTCTGATGACTTTTTACTTTCTACTTCTTACATGTTGAACACAAATACCTGTACTTTCTACTTCTCACATGTTGAACCCAAATACCTGTACTTTCTACTTCTTACATGTTGAACCCAAATACCTGTACTTTCTACTTCTTACATGTTGAACCCAAATACCTGTACTTTCTACTTCTTACATGTTGAACCCAAATACCTGTACTTTGTACTTCTTACATGTTGAACCTAAATACCTGTACTTTCTACTTCTTACATGTTGAACACAAATACCTGTACTTTCTACTTCTCACATGTTGAACCCAAATACCTGTACTTTCTACTTCTTACATGTTGAACCCAAATACCTGAACTTTCTACTTCTCACATGTTGAACACAAATACCTGTACTTTCTACTTCTTACATGTTGAACCCAAATACCTGTACTTTCTACTTCTCACATGTTGAACCCAAATACCTGTACTTTCTACTTCTTACATGTTGAACCCAAATACCTGAACTTTCTACTTCTTACATGTTGAACCCAAATACCTGTACTTTCTACTTCTCACATGTTGAACACAAATACCTGTACTTTCTACTTCTTACATGTTGAACCCAAATACCTGTACTTTCTACTTCTCACATGTTGAACTCAAATACCTGTACTTTCTACTTCTCACATTTTCCAAACAGGCCGGTTCCTTTAGTCTGAATGTGTGTTTGGTGCGTGATCATTATTATTTAGTCATTGCGTGCCTATTGATTTGAACACGATCCGTGTATCCATAATTTCCTGGTCTTCTCTAAAGAAGAGGCACCAATGAAAATGTTGCCGTTGTTCAGCATGGAAACATTCATTAGCTAACAATGACATTATTGTTCTATTAATATAAAGGGAGGTCAGGTACTCTTTAAAACAGCTGCTAGTTATGGGTACTTTTTACTGAAGTACATTTCAAAGCCTCTTTACTTTGACTTGAGTAAAGAAGTTTAGTCAGTACTTCTACTTTTACCAGAGTATTTTTAAACACGAGTATCTGTACTTCTACTTGAGTAAAGGATGTGTGTACTTTTGCCATCTCTGCTCACGGCTGTTTGTGTTCAGGAGGAGGGTTTTGTATTACCCCTGCTGTGGAGGGGGACTCCAGCGAAGATGTCCTGCCCGATCCCTCAGACCCAGCCTCGGGCCTCTGGACCCTCGTCTCTCTGTTGCTCTCTGCATGGGATGACCCTCACTGTGCAGGGACCCCATGCTGCTGAGGACATCAGGGTGAACGGTAATTTACTTGCACTAAACATCTCGTGTGAGTGTCAGTTTGGGAAGGGAGGCATGTGGGGGAGGGGAGGTTTGGTCAGTGTTTGTTTGTTTTGAAAAAATGAGTGGGGATGAAGTATTAATTGGTACTAAGTCACATTTTGTTGCCAATGAATTTCTTGGTGTCATGAAATCTTGAATCTAATGTAATTCTACCCTCACTCATCCTGTACAAAGAATACAATTATATTAAAAAAAAAAATAGAAATAAAAAAAAAGGTAATTTACCTGCACTATTATCTGTTTCATTGTGTTGCACTGTTGTAAGATTTTCCTCGACATAACTACACTGTAGCCATGTACGTATGACAATAAAAGCCTTGAATCTAATGATAGATTTTTCATTCTTTTATCACTCTGTATTTCTCTAGATCAGGGGTGTCAAACTCAATTTCATTGTGGGCCACATTAGCATTATGGTTGCACTCAAAGTGCCGGTTGTAACTTTAAGACTATATACATTTACATGAATATATAATATATATTAAATAATGTATTATATTCCATTATTGGCTCTGCATTGGATTATTATCAATTCTGGTAATAACTTCATAAATAGCTACGTCTGAAAGCAGAAGTCTAGGGCAAATAATTGAAAGCAAATATTCAACAATTACAGTATATTATATTCTTTGGAAGCTCTTGCGGTTTGACACCCCTGCTCTAGATGGTCTTTTAAAAGAATGTTTTTTTTGCTTCTCGTTACAGTCAGAGGAGAATGGGCCCCCCTGTTGGTGTTAGAGGAGCGGTGTGGATACACAGTGGAGAGACGTGACGCTGAGATTATAATCGCTGCTCCATTTATTACCTGTGGCATCACAGACGAGGTGAGTTTCAAGAAGTCACTATTCATAAGACGATACTACATATATTGTACGTATACTATAATACATTTGTAGAAGGGCTGTATATGTTAAAGGTCCCATGTCATGCTTTTCTGGTTATTACCCGTCCCCTTGTGTTATGTAGCTTTCTCTGCATGTAAACGGTCTGCAGAGTCACAAGCCCTCAAAGTACACCCTGTAGCGAGTAAAACTCTAACACAGAAAAGACCGGTCTGTGCTGCCCCAGAACGCCTCGTTGGAGATTTCTCTTTTTCCATCGTTTACTTCTTGGGTATAGTGACGTATTTCGGCTATAGTGACCTTACGTCCGCGGAGCCGTTACGTTTGGACCAATCAACGGACTTCCTCACACACACACTCGGCGGGACGTTGCGAGGCTCGCTGCTGCGAGGAGTGGGACACTGTGAGCTGGCTCACTGGTGTGGGGTCGGCGAGACACCGCGGAACTCAGCCTGAGCACACACACATTATATTATATAAAATGTTGAAAAATCACTTGTATTAATCACATTACTCAGTTTGACCCAAACCACCTTTCGAGATTTTAGTAAATGTGACTTAAATGATGTTTTCATACATTTTCTGTAAACTTTCTCACAAAGAAAATCTCTCTTTTTCAGGATGGAAAACACAGTCTGTCTCTTCAGATAGAAGAAAACACCTTCAAAGTGGCCTGTCCTGTGTCTCCCCCTGAAGAACTCAGACCTTCCCATCATACTCCTCGTCTTCAAAGAGGGAACATTCCTGAATCCCTGGAGTCTTTTCCATGGGCCCAACCTTTCCTCTTGGCCCCTCTTAACTACCCCCACCCTACATACCACCACAAGTACCATCCTCCTGATGAATCATCTTCCACTGCTGAGCTTTCATTAGCTCCTCCTGTTGATTCGCCTCCAGACGACCCCCACCAGATTCCTGCACATTTCAATATCCCCACTCCTCAGTCATCTCCAGAAAATGTAGAAAATGTACATCCAGTGTATCCGGATCCGCAAGATACTCATGTGATGGGCGTCTCGATTAAGCTGCGTGCTGCTCCTTCCCCAGTAACCGTTCAAGATGTAGCACCTTCTCTGCAGCCTTCGAGCCACGGCTTCAATTCCTACTATCACTACTACCACCACCCTAAAGTACCTCTTCCTGACACAACTCAAAACCCCGATCCAGGTCCTGAGGAGCCTGGAAAACAATCTTTTACCAATCCTCCTCAAAACCCGGGATTCCTAGAGAACTCCCACTTTCTTCAGCCAGTGACGGAGGCTGCCTTTCTGCCAATTTCCAACCTTCCAACATCTGCACCTCATCCTCCACATCCCATTCCCATACCATTACTTCCCACACATCGCTAGCGGCGAGGCCACAATATTGCCGCCTCTCGATCCCGAAATGACTCCAAATTTGTCCGAAGATCAGAAGTCGGACACCTCCGTTCATCCTCGCTCGTCACAAGTCTACGATGAACACAACCCCTTCAATCCATACTATCACTACTACCAACCTAAAATCCCTCAACCTGGTCCACCTCAAGACCCAGATCTGCGTCCCGAGGAGCCTGTGGATCTACCTCAAAACCCTGAATTCCCACAGGACTCACAACAGTTTCTTCAGCCTGTCACAGAAGCTGCCTCTCTTATGTCCACCCTTCCTCCAAAAACCTCTACACCCTCACATCCTCCACATCCCTATCCATTCCCTTTCCATTACTTCCCACACATTGGTCCGGAAGAGGCCCAAAGGTTGCCTTCTTTAGATCCCGAAACGACTCCAAATTTGTCAGAAGATCAGAATTCTGGCACATCCATTCATCCTCGCTCATCTGATGCTGAGGCAACTTCTTTAACTTCTAGTCCTCCAGAAAGTCCTCCAAAAATGAATTCACCTGATGTACCTTATCCTCCACATCCTTATCCATTCCCGTACTATTACTTCCCTCATATTGCTCTTGGCGAGGACAAAGGATTGCCGCCTCTCTATCCTGAAATGACTCCAAATTTGTCAGAAGATCAGAAGTCGGACACCTCCGTTCATCCTCGTTCATCACAAGTCCACAACGAACACAACCCCTTCAATCCATACTATCACAACTTCCACCACCCTGAAATCCCTCAACCTGGTCCACCTCAACACCCTAATTCAGGCCCTGAAGTACCTGGAGAACAATCTTTAACTCATTTTACTCAAAACCCTGAATTCCTAGAGAAATCACACCAGTTCCTTCAGCCTGCACCTGAGGCGGCTTCTTTTACTTCTAGTCTTCCAGAGAGTCCTCCAAAAACATCTGCACCTTTTCCTGCACATCCTTATCCATTCCCATACTATTACTTCCCACATATGGCTCCGGGCGAGGACAAAGGATTGCCTCCGCCAAATTTGTTGGAAGATCAGAAGTCGGACACCTCCATTCATCCTCGTTCATCACAAGTTCTCGACGGACACGACCCCTTAAATCCACACTATCACTACTTCCACCACCCTGACATCCCTCAACCTGGTCCACCTCAAGACCCTGATTCAGGCCCTGAAGTACTTGGAGAACGGTCTTTAACTCATTTTACTCAAAACCCTGAATTCCTAGAGAAATCACACCAGTTCCTTCAGCCTGCACCTGAGGCGGCCTCTTTTACTTCTAGTCTTCCAGAGACTCCTCCAAAAACATCTGCACAAGATGCACGTCCTCCTCCCCATCCTTATCCATTTCCATACCATTACTCCATGCATATCGCTAGAGGAGATGTTAAAAGATCGGCTCCTCCCGATCCAGAAACGGGACCGGACAACTCCGTTCATCCATACTATCACTACCAACACCTTAAAATCCCTCTTCCTGGCAAACCTCAAGACACCGATCCAGGTCCTGAAGAGCCTGGAGAACTCTCTTTAACTAATCTTCCTCAACTTCTTCAGTCTGGACCTGAGTCAGCAACTTTGACTTCTAGCCCTCCAGAAAGTCCTCCAAAAGCATCTGCACCTGATGCACCCCCTCCTCCACATCCTTATCCATTCCCGTACTATTACTTTCCACATATTGCTCGGGGCGATGTTCAAGGATTGCCCCCTCTAAGTCTGGAAGCAAATCCAGATTTGTCCGAAGATCAAAAGTCTGACGCCTCTGTTCATCCTCGCTCGTCACAAGTCCATGATGAACACAACTCCTTCAATCCATACCATCAATACTACTACAACCACCTTAAAATCCCTCAAACTGGTCCAACTCAAGATCCTGATCCTCAAGAATGGTCTCAAACTAATCCTCCTCTAAGCTATGAATTCCCAGAGAACTCTGATGTTGCTTCTTTTACTTCAAGCCCTTCAGAAAGTCCTCTGAAATCTGCACCTGAGGCACCTTATCCTCCATATCCCTATCCGCACTATTACTTCCCTCACATTGCTTGGGGAGAGCCTGAAGCGTTTGTAGACCCTCAGGAGATGCATCCTGCGGGCAATATGAACTTTGAAAAAGCTTCAAATTCAGAGCCTCAGCTTCCCTCTGACCTCAGTGGGTTGGATCATGCCGCTGAAGCAGGATTTCCCAGCATGCCTCAGCAGCTTCGTAGCCTCAATTCACATTATGTCACTCATCAACAGCAAGTAGATGCTTTTGAGCTTCCTGATGAAGAAGTGGGGAAGAGGATGGATGCTGAAATGAAAGGTGATTTAAAAATACTCAAAGCTGTAAAATCTCCAGTAGTATTGCTCTTGATTACACATACTGAGTTTGGCCCAGCATTATTTTTGTTGCCATAGCTTTAAAGGGGACCTATCATGCAAAATGCGCTTTTTGATGTCTTTTATACATCAATATTCAGAGTTAAATGTGGGGTAGGTAATTTTGGAGAAACCAGCTTGAGTGCGCTAGAATTTGAAAATACACAGCCGGAACAAATCTACCACTTCCTTCAGACTTCCTTACAGAGCCCCTCCTCCAAGACACACGAACGCGCACATGACCAATGAGGGCACGAGATAAGTTTGTGCACAGATGGAAGGCTGACAGGCAGGTAGGCCATCCAGTTACTTTAGCCGGGCCGGCTCAGATGATTGGTCGTGCTTTTTACAGTATTACGGCTTCCACAGATGACATTTTTGTCAAAAGCACTCAAGATATTCATTGCTATCGGGATGTTAAGAGCATTCCATAGAATATAACAAAAAGTGTATCTCGAGCCGGTTTCTTAAACGTACCTACCCCACCTTTAAAGTAGAAAGGTATTAATGTTGCACTTATGCGAACATCACTTTATTTAAAGGGGACCTATCATGCAAAATGTGCTTTTTGATGTCTTTTATACATAACTGTGTCGGGGAACTCACGCAGCAGCAGAAAATAAAACCCTTTCTCTTTTCCTCCATACCCAAATCTTTTAAAAACGGGTGTACAACGAGCGGATACAGATTTGCTGCCGATCTGACGTCAAATCGGCAGCGGACTCACAGAAAATTGCTATCAGAAACAATGCCTGACGTGTTTTGGACGTAATCTCGTCTTTGTTTACATTAGCAAGCCTCGCTAACACTCAGAGCTAACCTGTACTGGAGAGCACATGTGTTTTTTTTAAAAGCAGGAAATGAAAAAAGGAACTCACCTTGTGATAAACCTGCAAGAGAAAAAGCATTTGAGCTCCATACTGTTTCAGAAATAATCCTTGACGTGGTTTTGAACAGGATGGCGTTTTATCACAGCAGAATTTAACTTTATCTCCGGTAGAATTCTGATCAGGCATTAGCTCCGCCTCCTCTTTTAAACAATTTTTTTTAAATCCAAGGACCCAAAATCTGCATTTCTCTAAAGGGCCGGAATAGAGGGGTATGAGGCATGGCTACAATGGGGGGATCTGTGACATGTTTTGTATATATGTATATGTTTCCAATATAGCATAATAGGTCCACTTTAAATATTCGTTAATTTAATGTTGCTTTTGTAAATCAGAATGCTTTATTTATCCTGGGCAAAACTCAGTTTCATGAGTTACCCCATTTTAGAATAAATAACTAAAATGTCAAAGTTTTAAATAAAAATAAGAAGTTAAATCAAGAATGCAATAAAAGGATACAATAAAAATAGTGTGCAATGGAATACAAATATTTATATAAATCTAAAGGTGGAAATCATTCAAACCACAGCTGGGTAGCCTAATCCATAATAATGCATCTCAATTCGTTTATTTTGTTATCTAAATTTGCAAAGTAACTAATACCTTAAGATGTAAAAGATACAACATTTCCTTTGAGATGAATTAAAGTAGAAATTAGGATATGAACGAAATAATCTGACATTTTACATCACAGTTCTTGAGTATATTTAATTTCCGTGTGTTTTCCGACAGACTGCACATCGGGGCAGCATTTGATCTTCGTGGTGGACCACAGATCTGAGATCTCTCCTGTCAGGTCGGCGTTATGTTAATTACTTATTCTGCGTTTGACAGTTTTATTTCCTTGTTTTATATCAAATGTGTTATCCTTTTTAATTCTTCACACAGAAAACACTAGAATGAGTTCCTTCACGGAGGATTTACACACATCACAAGACAGTCATCTGCCTCTCTTTTAAACATTTCAAATGAGTATTGTCAGATCTGTTTTTGGTGTTTAAGCTTTTTTAAAAGGCATTTTGCTGGGAGAGGGGTAACATGCTCTGATTCCAACACATGCTGCTTTTAATTGAATCAGAAATCCTTCATTTTTCCCACAGCAGGAACATTTATATAAAAATCACATAATAATAATAAGTGTTAAAAGGATGTGGCTGCTGATTGAGGTTTAATAAACATTATTGAAGTTACTGTGACAAAGGTGACAGAGAATGAGGATTTTGGTATTAAGTATTCCACTACTGTATGTTGCATGTTTTTATGTTATTGTATTTACTTTTTGAAATGTGTCTTTAGGTTGACTTACAGAATCTGTCCAGGGACTACAGATGGAAAATAGCCTCTTGGCAAACTGTCACATTTACAGAAATGTTGATTAATGTGCACTGTCCCTGTTGAATGAATAAAACACGTTCCTCTGCTGGTCCTCAGGTTGGGGGTGCAGTGTAGTTCCTCTCCGGGCTCTCCAGGTGAAGAGAGTCTCCACGTGATGAATCGTCCTCCTCCTGTTCTGTTTCCAGTCTCCACCGTCACTGTGCAGCTGAGAATCGCCACAGGTGATCGTCTCCACTGTATTCTCTTTATATAACAAGAGGTTGAATAAGTACTATACATATATTTTACTAAAATTAAAAGTAGAAATTCCAGGGGGTCCGCGGGGTCTTAAAAAGTATTAAAAGTTGATAAATCAATTTAGCGAAAATGAAGGCTATTAAAAAGTATTAAACGGCATTTTCTAAGGTTTTACATTTTGTAGCTTGTTTTCAATAAGTATATAAATGGTCCAAAGAGGTTGTATTCTACAGTCTGCCTGAATGTAATCATGGCGTAGGTGTGTAGTGTGATTCTGTGTAGTTTATTGATGGCATCCCGTTGGATGTGACGTCATCTGAACAGGACATCGCACGCTCACTGCTTGATGGCGCGCGAAGGTCCGTTTACGCCGGTTGTTAAACAACATCGTTATGGGGAAATGCAAGTCTGCGTCCAAATGGTTGGAAGATAAGGAGGAAGGACAATCAATACTGTGTATAGTCAATGTGAGGTAAAGTGTGTCGCCAAGGTAACCGGTTAGAACTCAAAGTGGCGATGAGGTCTTAAAATGTATGGAAAGGGTCTTTAAAGGTCTTACATTTGACTTCAGGATTCCTGCATATACCCTGAATACTACAATACAGTATGAAAACTCAGTTACAAGTAAAAGTCCTGCATCAAAATCTTACCTGTTATCGTATTGCCTATTTCAGTAAAAATATATATTATTGTGTTTAAAATGATTGATGCATTAATGTTATTATACCTGTTGGATAAAAATCTGATATATTTTGTATTATTAATCAGAATCTTCAAAGTAACTGAACATTTTGAATGTGGAGAAATTCAATTGAAGCACAATTTTGAGTTTCAAATTTAGATTTTTTTCTTTTTTTTTTGTACACAGACGAGTCGTTCAGCAGCTTCCACCCTGAGGCTCACCTTCCTCTCAGCGTGATTGGAGGAGGATCTGTTTACCTGCAGCTGAGCCTTCAGGACCCCCCCGCCCCCCACCTGCTGCTGCTGGTTCACTCCTGCCTGGCGTTCACACACACACCGTACAGCAGCTGGAGGCTCGTCTACGATGGGTAGGTGTTGACGTTGCCATCTTACGATACGATAATACTTGACTGGTCAGATCAAGTCTGAAATGCTCCTTGCATCACAGCAGCTCCATGTGTGACATCAACAGACAGATATCAAGACACAATACATGAAAAACAAACAACAAACATTTAACATAACGGCACAATCAGTGAGAGAAAACATGCTCAAAGAGCCTTCAGCGTGCATCTGATCTGGATTCTGCTGTGTTTACTGAGAGGACTGACTGGAGCACAAAGGAGTGTCAATCTTAGGGATACTGTGAACATACCACAAATGACTTAGGAAGAAATACACACACACACTAACACTAGCACACACACCCCGTCGGCATTGCTTCAACCGGAAGTGGCACGTTTATTGCGCATGTCCGTTTTATCACGGCAATACAGGAAGTGACTTTTAGTGTAAGTAAAATAAACGGATTAATCTCTAATAACTCAACAGTAGGACATCTGAAATCCTTCATTCTTCCCACAGTGGATGCATTGTTTTGTTACAGCGATAAAACAGTGCAGATAGAAAGAGCAGACATTAAATATTTTGGCAAACACACCAATAAAATAAAAATCACTCTTACCGCCTTTTGATATTTTAGTGTGGATTGTGCTTTTGTATTGTTGGGTCAAACTATTGCCTGTAAATCAGAATCAGAAAACTTAAATCATCCCTGAGGGGTTATTCCGTTATTATAGAATATATATATATACAAAATTATCAATAAGATTTATGCAAGAAGTCAAAAGCAAAAATGTCTATTGAAAAATAAAAAGTGGTGTAATGTTAGTAAAGATGCTTGATGCTGATAACCAGATATTTGCATTACATTTTCACTGTAATAGAGTATATTGAGTTGTGCAGTTAAATTATATATTTACAAGTTGTGTCCGTATTGCAAAGTTTAAAAGTGTTTTTTAAAGGAGCATTTCCTGCTTTCTACATGTCATTTATTTTCTGTTCAGTTGCGGTGATTCCCAGCTGCTCTCTCACGCCAACCCCCCCCCCACCCAGAGGATCCTGATCCCTGCCCTCCCGTCTCCGCCCTCTGAGAGCACCCCCCCCCTGACTGAAGGAGGATCCTCTCACCTGCAGGACCCCGAGGTAACTCCCTCTGAACTAACATGCTCATACAGGACAATAATTATGAAAAGCACATAATTACACTGAGGTGGGAAGTAGTGGAGTACAAATACTTTAGGCGCATTCACACTGCGGTACTTTTCCCACAAAGGTTCATGTGAACTTAGTTCATGTGAACTCTTTTATCGCGTTCACACCAAAAAGAGCCGGTACTAAAATTAGTTCATGTGAACCTTTTTACCCCCACGAAAGTCCCTGCTAGAGAGCAGGGACTTTCGTGCGGCTCTCTTGTGAGAAAAGAGCTATATTTCTGATTGGCTGGGCGGATTGCAAACCACGCCCCGTAAAACTCCCAAAAAGTTTTGTGAAGCCGCCATTTTATTATCCTCGCATTAGCATTATTAGCATTAGCATTAGCCCAGCGCAGAAACGCAGAGAGACTAACTTATGGCAACACAAAATAAAACATGGGAGCGGTGTAGATGAGCCAGTCCCCAACTCCGGGGACTTCCGGCCGGGGACTTTGGGCGGCAGTATACGCCGTGAAGTGGTTTGCGGCCTGCCAGTAAGCCCAAAGCAGAAGAAGAACAAGTGACGTCAGCGGCTTAATTTGCCTAATCCTCCCTCAGGGACTTATTCCAGTGTGAACGCGATCTGTACTTAGTTCATGCAAACTAAAGAGTTCACATGAACTAAGTTCACATGAACCTTTGTGGGAAAAGTACCGCAGTGTGAATGCGCCTATTGAGACCAGTTTGGAATGTGTTTACTGAGGTGTTGAATCAAGTGACAAGTAGGGTAAATGTTTTCATAGACTCCTTAGAAGAAGTAGTGCGGCTCTCTTGTGAGAAAAGAGCTATATTTCTGATTGGCTGGGCGGATTGCAAACCACGCCCCGTAAAACTCCCAAAAAGTTTTGTGAAGCCGCCATTTTATTATCCTCGCATTAGCATTATTAGCATTAGCCCAGCGCAGAAACGCAGAGAGACTAACTTATGGCAACACAAAATAAAACATGGGAGCAGTGGAGATGAGGAGGTGTCGGCGTTCTGGCGATTTACTCGGAAGGCTTCAGTAGAAGCTGCTGGGACTCCCAGCAGCTTCTACTGAAGCCAGTCCCCAACTCCGGGGACTTCCGGCCGGGGACTTTGGGCGGCAGTATACGCCGTGAAGTGGTTTGCGGCCTGCCAGTAAACCCAAAGCAGAAGAAGAACAAGTGACGTCAGCGGCTTCGTTTGCCTAATCCTCCCTCAGGGACTTTTTCCAGTGTGAACGCGATCTGTATTTAGTTCATGCGAACTAAAGAGTTCACATGAACTAAGTTCACATGAACCTTTGTGGGAAAAGTACCGCAGTGTGAATGCCCCTATTGTTACTGTACTTAAGTACATGTTTCTGGTATCAGTACTTTACTCCACTACTTATTCTTCTAACGACTTTTTACTTTTACTTCTTACATTTTGAACACAAATACCTGTACTTTCTAATTCTTATATGTTGAACCCAAATACCTGTACTTTCTACTTCTTACATGTTGAACCCAAATACCTGTACTTTGTACATGTTGAACCCAAATACCTGTACTTTGTACATGTTGAACCCAAATACCTGTACTTTCTACTTCTTACATTTTGAACCCAAATACCTGTACTTTGTACATGTTGAACACAAATACCTGTACTTTATACTTCTTACATGTTGAACACAAATACCTGTACTTTATACTTCTTACATGTTGAACACAAATACCTGTACTTTATACTTCTTACATGTTGAACACAAATACCTGTACTTTATACTTCTTACATGTTGAACCCAAATACCTGTACTTTCTACTTCTTACATGTTGAACCCAAATACCTGTACTTTCTACTTCTTACATGTTGAACCCAAATACCTGTACTTTCTACTTCTTACATGTTGAACACAAATACCTGTACTTTGTACATGTTGAACCCAAATACCTGTACTTTGTACATGTTGAACCCAAATACCTGTACTTTGTACATGTTGAACACAAATACCTGTACTTTCTACTTCTTACATGTTGAACACAAATACCTGTACTTTCTACATGTTGAACACAAATACCTGTACTTTCTACATGTTGAACACAAATACCTGTACTTTCTACATGTTGAACACAAATACCTGTACTTTCTACATGTTGAACACAAATACCTGTACTTTCTACTTCTTACATGTTGAACACAAATACCTGTACTTTCTACTTCTTACATGTTGAACACAAATACCTGTACTTTCTACTTCGTACATGTTGAACACAAATACCTGTACTTTCTACTTCGTACATGTTGAACACAAATACCTGTACTTTCTACTTCTTACATGTTGAACACAAATACCTGTACTTTCTACTTCTTACATGTTGAACCCAAATACCTGTACTTTCTACTTCTTACATGTTGAACACAAATACCTGTACTTTCTACTTCTTACATGTTGAACACAAATACCTGTACTTTCTACTTCTTACATGTTGAACACAAATACCTGTACTTTCTACTTCTTACATGTTGAACTCAAATACCTGTACTTTCTACTTCTCTCATTTTCCAAACAGCTGGTTCCTTTAGTTTGAATGTGTGTTTGGTGCGTGATCATTATTATTTAGAGTCATTGCGTGCCTATTGATTTGAACACGATCCGTGTATCCATCATTTCCTGCTCTTCTCTAAAGAATAGGGACCAATGAAAACGTTGTCACGTTGCCGTTGTTCAGCATGGAAACATTTATTAGCTAACAATGACATTATTAATATAAAGGGAGGTCAGGTACTCTTTAAAACAGCTGCTAGTTATGAGTACTTTTTACTTAAGTAATTTTCGAAGCCTCTTTACTTTTACTTGAGTAAAGAAGTTTAGTCAGTACTTTTACTAGAGTATTTTTAAACACAAGTATCTGTACTTCTACCAGAATATTTTTAAACACGAGTATATGTACTTCTACTTGAGTAAAGGATGAGTGTACTTTTGCCATCTCTGATTATATGAAACAACCAGAACTCTTAAAAGTACACGAGAAAACATTTTTTTGCCTGTGTCTCTTAAAACGCTAAACAGATAATGCATGATACTGGCTTTACTTTTAGTAAAACGGTTTCAATGTGTTTGTTTCCTCAGATCTACTTCATGTGTTTGACAGAGGTGTGCTATGCTGCACATGTTGACTGCACCATAAGCTGCACCAACAGTAAGTTCAACACACAGGAAACACCCAAGAGAAACTGAGGACTGCTATAGTCTTCTCACAAGATTGTAGTAGTATATTAATTGGGAACATATTCAGAAGGGTTCCCAAGACTTAAAATAAGTGAAACGGGGCTACATAATTTACCTTTCAAATGCCCAGTGAAAAAATAATTATATTTTAAACATGGGCCTGGTGTACTTGTTGTGGTTTTCCCTTTCCTGTAGTGTGTTATCTAGGTTTGTGTGCATGTAAATGGTCTGCAAATGCTAAAATCCAGAAGTTCCTGAAAATGAGGGCTACTTAAATTGCCTAAGAATTGCTTATGAAGAATCTATTGCTCTTATCTACATGTGTCTGCTAGCATTCCCATTACCCAATTAAGAAATTATTTTCCAAGGACTTTACAAACACACCTTTCTAAAGCACAATACAAGACTAGAGAAAACAAAAAATGTCTCGAGGACTCGTTTATCACGACACTAACTTTTGTTTTTCCCTCACAGGTCCTGACAGTGACGTGTGAGAAATGAAATAAACACTTTTACACACCTGCACTCTGGTTTTGTTTCATGGAAATAACAAACACACAAGTCTTGGTGAAGAAAAGGGGAAAAGCCCAGTATGGAATATTTATTAGAAAACGTATAGTGCAAAAAACTACTATGCAAAGAGAAGGACAAGCAATACTAAACAAGACACTTGATGCATTTGATCACAAAAATGTGTTTGCAGGAACTTGAAGGAATACAACATCTGAATATAATTGTCATTAATGGCATGGTGTTTCCCTTTGAACCAAAGCAGTGTTTACAGGAAGGCAGCATATACACTTAGTTTATGCAGTACGATTAACAGCCTCTGACAGTACCTGACGACTGAGTTCACACTCAAAAAGGTCTTTTACTTTATTCAAGTTGGATCCTGTGGTCCTCTTGATGCACAATCACGTAAAAAGGAAATTAAATGGAATACAAAACTATGGAAAAGTCCCTTCTATAGCAAAACAATTCCCACTTTAAGGTGTCGACAGGGACATATACGACCCGACCTTACGTAAACATTTCATATTATCTGAATGGATTTTACAGAACATGCTCCCGTTCTCATTTATGCATACATTATTCATTTAAAAACATTATTTCCAGCGGCTCAGTGAGTAATTACCACTTCCACAAAAACGTTAAAAGCATTATAGGAAAAAAAGACAAACATGGATAAAAAAAGTGTAACAGGTATGGAATCTCTCTCCTCCTACATTATCCCATACTCTCCCTCACAGTTAGTTATTAAACGGATGTGTCACATTATTTATCGTATGTCCACGATGATGAAGAGGCCTGTCCGTTCATAGCTAGATGAATAATTGACCATTATACTCGACATCCATTCTACTAAGCTACTGCATGAAAATACAAAAAGAAAACGGCACAATAAAATATTGATAATTGTCAACAGCTAGGAAAAGAAATCAGTTTTCTGCTTACAATAGGTCAGATGATAAGCACAATGTGATGTTTCACATACACACCCAAATTCAATGCCAACCCAACACACTTCCACTGGAGGGGCAAATAGAGAGACTTGGGAAAAACTCTGTCACAGGAAACAGGAACTGTCGTAACTTTTCATAACCAGAGATTGGAATCAGCATCTCTGACAGAAAATAGTAATTATAATAAAAATCCCTGGCGTTTATTTCCTTGTATTAAACTTCTATATCATTAAAATACTTTCTGGGTTTAAAATGGCTGTAAAATAGCTGCTCATAGTACTAGGATGGGTTAAATGCAGAGGTCACATTTCACTGTGTGCAGTGCTCTGCATGTTTGACGATTTAAAGAGGGTTTCATGGTGCTTCTGGGGGGTTTGATAACTTCCTGTTGAAGGGTTTGATAACTTCCTGTTGAAGGGTTTGATAACTTCCTGTTGGGGGTTTTTGGAAACAGAGTCGAAGTGGGGAGAGTGTGTCGGGATCAGTTTGGAGTTGAGACACATGTTTGTAACGTTTTTCAAGCTTGAAATCCAGTGCTGTGTCTTCGCTGATGAGGGTTGAACTCCTGTTAGTACACGGTTGTGTATCGTGCTGTGATCTCCTGCTGCTCTCTCTTGGTCTGTGTCAGGAGGACAATGCTGCAGACCAGGGCAACAACCTGTCATTCAGACACAGAGGGAGGAGGTGAAGAGGGGGGATGGGAATAAGAGCCAGGCTTCCTGACCCGGGTCACACCAGCCACAGAATGAGTTTCGATGTAAGATGGGTACCAGCACAGGCTAGCAATTAGCATGCAGCTACAAAAAGAGACGCTTGTGTGGAAGGCAAAATGAGATATGAAGACACTTTAAGGAAAAATCCAACCCTTTATATATGTATTTTTTTAATACAGGCAGATTAGAAATAAAAAACTGAGGTTGAAATAATATATTTTTTTGATGCAACTGTTTTTATTGTGTATCGTGTTTTTAGCACGTGGCTTTGTTGTGTTCATTTAAGCTTTTATGATTCGTATGATGTTTTAATGCTATGTGACTATGTCTGGGAAAAGCGCTTTAACAATACATTTGACTTACGGGTGGATTTTTCCTTTAAAGGGAGCTGAAGAGACCCCACAGTGAGCATGCACAGAAGAGATGAACATGAAGTAATGTGAAAATAAACCCAGATCTGTATCCTCTATGCCCGAGCATTGTGGTAAAAGTGCTCTCTAAGTCATAACTATGGGGATGTTGGCCACAGTCAGAGGGGTGAAGACCACCGGCTCCTGGTCGGGGAAAGAGTAGGAAATGGAGTTGGAGGTGGGGATATATTCAAGCTGAGATGTTTGAGGCTGAGTCAGGATGATGTACTGAGGAGAGGATGGGGTCTTGAGCTTTTTAGCAAGGGTTGAGCTGCAAATCAAAGCCAGGAGCTTTTGGGGAGCATTGGTGAAGAGAGTGAAATATATTGTGAAAATTATTAGTTTGAATCAAGACAGGGGGAGGAGTTTTTTTTAAAGAGAGAAAGGAGGGAATAGGGGTTAGACCACAAGCAATAACTTTATGAACAACGAGAGATGACAAAATGAAGCATGTTGAAAATTAATGGAGCTGTTTTTTTCAACAAGATATACAAGACCCACTCTATTGTGTCCACGATTTGCTAATTGCGTAACAGCTAATGCTAATTCAATGCTAACTACTTGTTAATTGTTGTTTGTAAAGTGTAGAGTGCAGTAGTGGACTGAAATGAAGTACACTAAAGTACTGTACCTGTGTACAATTTTGAGGAACTGTTCAACAGCTTTAGTTACTTTGCAGATTCAGATTTTATGCAATTACAAAACATAAGTCGAATAAAAAATAAACATTGACATACAATTATTTAAGATATTCTGTATGCAGTAAAAGTAAGGCCATTTTTTTTTTTTTTTTAAAAAAAGGACCACTGCAGCACCTATTACTTTTTTGCTTTTCCACTAGGGGTAGTTCCGGCTCAGGGCTACTTTTTCACCTTTTTTCTGGCCCACCAAAATCGAGGTTCTTACCGGGCTAACGACCGGGCTGAATATGCTAAACTAGTGACGTAAACACTCACGACTGCTGAATGGTCAGAGAATCGCTGGCAAGGGAGCTACAACAAAATGAACATATTTTACCGTGATTTAATTGTAAAACACGATTCAAAAAGATGCCGGTCTGCAGACAAGACGGCAGACGAAAAACCTTTTAAAATGTGTGTTTTCTGAATGGAGATCGGGTCGATCAGGCTAAGCTAACCTTGTATATGCTCCGTCCACACTCACAACAGCCTACAGACATAAATAAACCAGTGACTGTATTCGCCATGACACAGACAGTATGCGGTTTGTACTTGTTTTGCTTTTGTCTAGTGTCTGAACAGATATGAGGAGCTCTGAGTGCTAACAGCTAACGGCTGATGTTGGTTTTGTGGTTCGCATTGAAGATGACGTCACGGCAGTTTTACGCAGCGTCGCTCTGCCCGCCAAACAGCCGATCGCCCCGCCTACAATGCGTTACTATAGTTACTACTCCAGGTACTAAACTGTAATGGAAACGCAGCATTAAATGAGCCTGGCCTACCAAGGCCTAACCATACCGTACTAAGCCGTGCTAGGTCCTGCAGTGGAAAAGCGCCATTAGTGTTCTTGGACAGTCCAATCAAAGGTTAATTTAAATATTTATTAGAAATTATTTTATTTCTCTTGTAACTTGTGTCTTCGCAAATATACCGATTCAGGTCATAGTTAAGTGCTAGCATTCTAACACGCTAAACTGAGATAGTAAACGTGGCAACAATTATATTGTGTAATTGATATTTTCTTTAGTTATAAATAAACAAAAACCATTAGTATTAATTTTTTGAATGTAGAGTACACTTTGCTGTCATTTGTGTGCTTAACTGTTTTAGGTATCTCATTTTTAAATTAAACATGTGACTATACAGAAAATACAAAAATGGGTACATTTTGTTCACCGTCCTATTTTAGCTGAAAAAAATCTATTTACTGCATTTCAATTTTGAAGCATGCAACACATCTGCTTACCAGAAGAGCTCCAGTTCCGACGAACACGCCCATCACCAGCGGTGCATTTCTGTTGAAGACATCAATGATCGCCCCAGGACAAGCCTGTAGCACCAAAAAAAAAAGGGATTATTGTCAGTTTTAAACACATAAACCTAGAATCAACTAATTTCAAAAGTGAATACAGATCGTGACTCAAAATCCTACAACACTGGAAAGATAAACATTAGTTTTATTATAGTTAACGGCTAGCATGCTAACAGGCTAAGATAGGCTAACTAAGATATTAATTGTGGCCAATAATCTAAGAAAAAGAGGGAAAGAATAAGTTTATTTGTTGTCAGACATGTAAACCCACATGTTATAATGTCTTAAAAAAAGATAACTCAAAATCTTACAACCCTGAACAGATAAACAAATGTAGTTTTGTAATAGCTAACTGCTAGCATGCTAACAGTCTAGGCTAGCAATAAAGATACTAAATGTGGTAAATATTCTAAGAGGAGGAAAGGGGTGTTTTTTGTATCTGTTTCAAACACACGTCAACATATATTGTAAGTGATTTTGAGTTATGTGTTCACTAAAAGACAAACGAAACTTGAAAGATATACACACTTAGTTTCGTAATAGCTAACTGCTAGCATGCTAACAAGAATAATTATTATAGTAAACGTGACAAATATTAGAAGGAAAATAGGAAAAATAGATGTTAATTTTTGGTCAGTTTAAACACACGTAAACTTACATTGTAATAGTGTTTTGAGTGAACCCATAATAACTCAACATCCTACAATACTGGAGGGATATACAAACTTAGTTTTGTCACAGTTAACTGCTAGCATGCTAACAGGCAAAACTATGTTAGTAAACGTGGCGAATATTATATGAAAAAATGTGTTTATTTATTTGTCAGTTTCAAATACAGGTTAACCAACATTGTAATACTGTCTTAAGTGAACATATATAATAACTAAAATCAAATGATACCTGACAGATATACTAATCGTGTGTTAAAATATAAAATAAAACTGTAATAATGAACCTTTGAAATATAAATTAAAGCATGAGTCACAGCGCACGGACGCAGCGGTTCAAACAGCAGAAGCTCCGGTAAGGATTATTATTGTGTGTGTAAACAAGCATCGAGGATACACACGGAACATTAAGTTCTAGTTTCTATTATTCGTATCTGAATAATATTTTTTTTAAAAGCCAATAAATACTAGAGGAAACGGAAACACTGAAAATATGAGCGTCTGCAAAAATCCCTCATCATGAAATTAAAGCTTTATCGTTTTCTGAGGTCAGAAAGATTATATATTATAGGTCTATATATATGTTGATACAAAGTTAGGCTGACTCACTGCTGCTGTTTTCCTCAGAGTCTGAGAAAGTAACACACGTTGTCGCAATAATTAAGATCTGTGTTTTGTTATGAAGCCGGCATTCAGGAAGCTGCGCTCTGATGGTGGGTATGGAGGAGACTTTTACGCGTCGTAGTTTGTATGTCACCTTGTGGGACTCGTCCTTTACTCGCTCAGAAAGATCCACACTTTCAATGTCCTGCCTCACCAAATTAACTTAATGACCAGGCTCCGCTCTGAATGAAGTCTGAGGGTTTCCAGGTGACGCGTCATAGCACATGCAGCGCACGGAGCTCTTTTTTATATATTTTTTGAACTAATCGACTAATGAAAAATTGCTTGATTAAGACTTTATTAGTCGACTAGTGATTAATCGACTATTAGGGGGCAGCCCTAATTTTGTGTTAGTATCACAAGTAAACCCACATTGTAAGTGTCTTAAAAAATATCGTAACTCAAATTCATACAATACTGGACACATATACAAGCTTAGATTTGTCCTAGTAAATTAGCATGCTAACAGGGTTAAGTACGACAGTAAAATGCTAATTGGCATTAACTTACATCCATCTTGATGTGTTCCAAAAAGGAGTTTGGGTCGGGACAGGTTTCCTTAGCAAAGTCTAACAACGTCACCCCGGTCGCTCCACAGCAGTGAAGCTACAGAGGAACGAGATGAAGGGAGATTTGAAACACTGACAATTAAATAAATAAGAATCACAACCACATATTTTACATCTCACATTATATAATCAATGTGGAAGTAAATAAAGACATGAGTAATAAGCAACTCTACTCATTTAAACACATTTTCAAATATGTAAATAAGGCAATGAATGAAGAGATTTTTTAGAATAAAAACTGACTCAAAATATATTATTAGATACTCATTTTAGTTATATTTTTGGAGAGTTTTTATTGATAACATATGGCTTTGTTGGGGTTATTTATTAGTTAAATAATACTTTTAAATTACATTATTTTTCAAATCAATTATTTAAAGAAAATGTTGGTTCATTTGTGTATTTACACAATTTATTACATTTTAATCATTTATTTCATACTGTCTTTTATTTGATAATATATTAAAAACACTGGTTTGGTGTAAAGGGTAATTCATGTTTCCATCTCAAGTCTGAAACAATATAAGACAAACAACAATTTTGAATTACAATTTTGAAATTAGAAATGTTTAACAAATGGAAGAAGGAAATAAAGTATTACCAGTTTTTGGATGAATGTGAGAGTGACCGCAAGAACTGGGTCGCCGTTAGCAACATACAGCAAATATATGCTAGAGTAGAACTCCCCCATTCTCAATCCAATCTGAAAAATAAAACACAAATTCATGAACATACATAAAGTATTAATTTTAAACATTTATTCTTCTCTTGTTTGTTTTCCTTCCATCTTACCTCCACCTTCCTGGAATAAGCAATCACTCCAAAAACAACCACAGCTCCTGCGAGGATGGACACCAGGACTGAAAACTACACAGAGAGGAAGCCGTTAGTAAACCCAGCTGATTTATTTAGAAACTGAAGGATATTTATACATTCTCCGTTCCTCGCTCGCATGTGGAACTTTCTAAATAGGAAACTGAGTAATGATACTTTGTGGTTCTACATTTGCAGAAAATATCTGTCTTCCAGCAGGTGTCAGGAAGTGAAGTAATAACGATGAAATTGCAGCAGAGAATAGATCATTTAGAGGTCCCCTATTCCACTGTTTTTCATCAATATATTATAGCTCTCAGATATATACAAACATGTCTCTGAAGTGTTTGCCTCCAAACACCAAACAGATCATTGCAGCATTACCCATAATCCCCTCTGTTTCAGCCCTGTTTCCAAAGTGCTGATTCTGTCTGTTACTTTAGATGAAAATAAGGAGCCCCTCCCCACGCCCCTCTGAGAGAGATTTGGTTACAAATGTGGTTAAAAAGAACTCAATTTGATTATGTATGTGCAATAGGGATATGTGCAATAGGGAAAGTTCTGTACCTGTATGTTTCTTGTTTGTTTCTTTGCCATATGTAATCTGTTCTGTATCTATGACTGATTGACCTGAATGTTTTATGTGTATTATCTCGATGCCCAAGACAAATTTCTCCTAAGGGAGACAATAAAGCTCTATCTTATCTTATCAATCTCACAGTGAGTTCTGCACTTATGCAACAGTAAGCCAGTTGTGTAAGGCAGGCTTTTGCAATCACATAAAATGGCTGTATATTCGATATACTATATGGCTGTATACACGGAAGTCTCACTATTTGCAGAGCGCATCGTTTCTCGTTGCAGGCGCCGTAGTCTCCAAACACGACCACGATCAGCATCACCGAGCCCGTGATAATCAGGATAGTCACCGCTTTAAAAAAAAGATATATAAATCTGTGAGTAAATATGTTTCAGACACACACTATGTTTATTCTGGTGAAATCATGCCACATATGTACTGACCAATAACGAATGCGCTTGAGTTGAGGGCCTCGAATTGAAAGATAGCTCTGGTGCTACCGCTGAACCTCAGCCACAGGCCCAGACCCAGGAACACAAACCCCACCAGCTGCACAACCACAGAAAACCACAAAGAACAACCACAGTGTGAATGTGCATCAGACAGGAAGCTTCACAGTTTCACATTCAGATTTATGGTTTTGGACTAGGGCTGTGCGATTATGGCAAAAATCATAATCACGATTATTTGGGTCAATAATTGATATCACGATTATTCATTGACCATTTATTGAACTTTAAAACAAATAATATTTTACCAATAAACAAGATCAACAAATATGTTGGAGCGCACTTCCAAAACCATACTAAACATATATTATTAATATGATAAATAAAAATAAATTAGACCAAAATAAATTAAATCAAATATGTTGCAGTGCACTGTCACAACCTACTGAAAACTCCTTAACATATAGCCAACATGTTGGTAAAACATATTCAACATATTCCACTCAGTTAAACGTTGAAGGCTGGCCAACCGTCATGGTCCAGAAGTAACAGGAAATAAATGTTGAACTACAATTTAAGACCAAATAAAAATGTTTAGGCCACCATGACAAATGCTGGTAGGGCTGCTCATGTCATCTCTTAAAGATTTTTTGCAAGAAATACCAGCCTGTTGACATGGTCTGGTTTCAGAGATGAGCGCAGGCAGGTGACAATATTGCCACCTGTACTGAAGACCCTCAGCCACGCCCCGACACAGGGGTGACGCCGGCCAATCACAAAGCTTTGATGCGTTCAAGTGCATTATTCTGGCACAGGAAGATTATGTTACAGGACATAAAACAGAATATTGTTGTTCTATTTTTAGACACATCTCGCGATCGACTGGTTGGGCACCCCTGGGCTAGACCATAGGTCTGTTGTGGTAGCAAAGTAGTCAGCTGAAGCCACATCTCTCTCAATTTCCCCACGGCATTTGTCATATAGTGCAGGCAGCGCAGACCTGCTGAAATAATACCGAGACGGCATCGCGTAACGTCCAACGTGTTGACAAGTTGCTTAAAGCCCTGGTTGCTAACAGTGCTAACTGGGCAAATATCTTTAGCGATGTGAAATGTAATGGCACCTGTAATATCTCTGTCTCTGCGAGCTCGTCGCGTAGGCCGTTGCTCTGTACAATGCGTCCTGAATCGATGACTGTGATGATGTGGTGGATGAAGTCGAGCGGGCATCGGCTTTTTGTTGTATTACTGCCCGGTCGTATTGCACTTTGTGGTTGTATTTCAGATGATTAAAGAGATTGGTTGTGTTAGCGTGTGGTGCCAACACAACCTGGTAACAAATCCTGCACTGTACTTTATTTTGCTCCACGTCGGACTCCTGAAAGCCAAAGTACTTCCAAATAGTGGAAATAGTTTGACCCTTCTTTTTAACGAGTTGCTGCTTTTGTTCTGACATCTTCGCTCACGCTGAACACTCACAACACATGTCACTCCCACGTGGCCGAGTGGGCTTTTAGGGAGGGGCGAAAGCGCACCCAGCTAAATAATCGTATTTTGTCAATTATGCTGTTTTCATAATCGTCGCAAGCCATAATCGTAATCGCGATTAAAATACGATTAATTGCACAGCCCTATTTCGGACGCTGCTGTATTTCCAGGTTAGTTCACGCTGTGTGGTATAAAAAGGTGTCATGTGAAAGTGCAGAATGAAACAGGGACGTAGAGGCACACTAACAACTGTCAAACCACAAAATACTCACAACCACAGGGCAACATGATAGCAGAGAAAAATCACAGAAAAACTAAATAAAAGTACTGAGATCTTGTTCTGACTGCTGGGACCAGCTTCTAGCCAAACTGTGACACAATTAGATCTGAATTGATATGAATAATTGTGCTAAACAGAGAATACCATGCTTAATCGCTATGTGATTTTACTTACAGCAGTGGATTTTAAAAATGTAAAAAAGTAATTAAAAAAATACTTGCATAGGGATATAGATTTGAATAAAAAAGATCAATAATCAATTTTTTTATCATTAATATCTATTAATACCAATACACTAATGTTTATATTGTGGTAAACACATGTTAACAGTTTTATTGTCGTTATATATTATATTACTATGTGCAGTTTTTATTTAATTCCTAAATGTGTTATTAAAGGTGGGGAAGGTCATTTTGGAGAAACCAGCTCGAGTGCGCTAAAATTTGAAAATACATAACCGAAACAAATCTGCCCCTTCCTTACAGAGCCCCTCCTCCAACACACACGAACGCGCTCATGACCAATGAGGGCACGAGATAAGTTTGTGCACAGATGGAAGGCTGACAGGCAGGTAGGCCATCCAGTTACTTTAGCCGGGCCGGCTCAGATGATTGGTCGTGCTTTTTACAGCGCCACGGCTTCCAGAGATAAAAAATGTTATGTATTTATTCTCAAAGCATTTAAGATATTCATTGCTATCGGGATGTTAAGAGCATTCCATGGAATATAACAAAAAGTGTTTCTGAAATAAAAAATGTAATATACAGTTAATTTGTACATAAACCTTCATGTAAAAAAAAGCAAATTCTAAAAGTATAATTAAATAACTTGCATGCTTTTCTTATAGTGTACTTCTTAAATATAAATGTAAACATATATTATGTGTGACTAAGCCCACTTTTCCAATAGATTCATTCTATTAAAGTTGAAAACATCTTCTAACAAATCTTAGTTGATTAAAAAGAAATAAAGCCTAATAACCTATTTAGATAACAAGCGTGAAATAGACCACTCATAGTTCCCCTTATGAGCAGTCTGAGGCTTCTGTTTTAAGGAATGAGCTGCCAACACTTTCTGTAATTACATAAATGAAACCCTGTGGTGTAGGCTGTTTGTTTCTTAAAGCATATTCAATTATCAGGCATAATTGACCTACATTTGATTGATGTTGCTCAATGAACTTCTAGTGAGGGGCCCAGCCATTAGTATATGTTTCTTGATGTGGCCCTCGGGGAAAATGTTTGGACACCCCTTTTTTTAAAGATGTTGTTTTCCTTTCTCCTTCCCGGATGTGACCACAGAGGCGCTATACCTGCAATAATAGAGAACTCAGGAAATGAAAGCCTCAGCGAGCTGGTATTCCTCAGAAACGAAACCAAAGTGTGCCAGCCCAGTGGGCCCACACCAACAACTTTCACACAACATCAGAAACACTTACAAACCATTAGTTATTCACAGCGTTAAAACGTGCACAGAACACTATAAAGTAAACAAAAAAAGGGAAGAATTAAAATATGAAGTATCATAATTATTAAACCACTTACCGCAAAGATGAGGTTGAAAATGAACAGCGTGTATTTGCAGAGGAGGCCACATCCGTCCAGAGCCATGATGCTTATTTTACTGTAAATACAAGAAAAGCACGTTATTTTCTCACTTATGCATGCCTTTTCTAATGCAAGCTTCTACCTATATAACAAACACACACATACATACATACATACAAATAACAACCATTTAGTGTTACAATTTACGTCTAGATGCCATATTACGTTGTAACCATAGACTGTACTGTATATGGGTTTTAACACGTTTAAATCATTACAACAGCGTTTTATCTTGTTAATATATCAAAGTAATGCAGCCAAAAAAACGGCATGAGCTTTAAAATGTTATAAATACCTGGATATCTTTTGACGACTTTAATCCTTGCTGCTATCAAACAGAAAACACAACAGGATTAACACAGTCGACGCAGCGTGCCTTATTTTAATACCCCAACGTCCGTCATGTCCCGCCTCTTCTCATTTGATTGGCTGAAAGGAGTGACGGATATGTGAGACAACCTATAAGCAGGCAGGCGTACATAGTAGGCGGGGCTATATGAACATGACGGTTGGAGTGAAAGTTAAGGAAATGGGATCTCATGGAATGAAAGTGAATGTTGATTTTGTGCATTTTAAGAGTTTTTTTCTACTATAAATAAATAAGAATACAACTTAATTGTTCTTAATTATAGAAATATATGATTTACATGTTTAAAACAAGCCATAGCACTTTTATGCATTTACTTTTTATTTTATTGTTATTTATTTTACTTTTTTTGATGTCTTGTCTGTTTGATTTCGTATTTAATTTACACAAATATCACAGGTATTCAAACAATTTATAATGCAAGAATAGTAAATGAAAAACTAGTAGCGGATATTTTTTAATTGGTGTAAATGTGAAATATATAATCATACATAACACAATTGGAAACAAAGGACAGGTAATGACATCTGACACAATGTTTTTTTCTCTGTCAAACCCCGATTTTATCTCGGGGACCTTCATGCAAATATTTTCCTCCTGGCTTTGATGATTTTTATATTTGCCTTTGGCTCATACAATAAACCACACGTAATTCTGTACCTGTAAAAATGTAAAAAAAATTCTCTACCTTGTATCTTGAAAAACACACATTATTCACCATTAAAGAAACAGAGAATAGCCTATATGAAACGGAACAAAACTAAAGTTGAATTAAGTAGATCTACTCAAATACTGGACTTAAAGAGGTCATATTCTCCTCATTCATATTTGTCTTTAGTGTCTCTACTGTGACATGTCTCCATGCTTTAATGTTCAAAAAGCTCTTTATTTGTCTCATACTGCCTGTGCTGCAGCCAGTGGTGACTGGTCATTAGGGGTAGGTGGGGCACAGCACCATCTAGTGTCAGCAGAAAGTCATTCAAATAATAATTCCAAAGGAATGCAAAACAAATTCATGTTTAATCATCTGATTCGTCTGTAGATTGCTGTTTTAGTCTGCGTTCTTCTAATTAGTGTCCACAGTGTGCCTATTGAGCTGTGTTGAGCGATGAGGCGAGGGGCAAGCCACGGTCTAGCCCAGGGGTACTCAAATACAAATCTTAAAGGTCCAAAATAAATGTTTCAATAAGACAAAGGTCCGTTTATTACGGTCATTCAAACTTTTAAACAATTGCAACAAGATTCTTAACACGAGGTTGCAAAAACAAAAATAATCTGTATGCAGCAGTTTTCATTGTTGTTGTGTCTGTGCTTGACCCCTCAGAGTCGCAGTGTAAGAGCTGCACAGTTATGAATAAAGGCAGCTGCACCCATTTTCATTCAGCATTCCCATTATTGCTTTATAAATGTATTCCCCCTTGTGTGTCCACTGAGGTTCGTCAGGCCCAACACATCTTCAACAAACTCCCCCTTTGCCTCATCATAAAAACTCACAAACACCAGCAACTGAGCATTGTCAGCAGTGCTTGAATTGGAATGAAAAAGGTGCCAGTACTCTAAAATCAGCAACTTTTTCAAGTCAATTTTATATATACAGCCCACAAACAAGAATTTGGCTACTATAATGCTGGTGGGTTTGTCTCTTTACTACTGTATATTTTAGAAAGGTTCACTGTACTTAACATTTTTTATGATAGGCAGCGGATATGGCTAAAGCTCAGTAAGGTCAATATTAACTGAAAATATAGCAATCAAAGTCTAGATCTTCTGCTGAAGACACATGAAGCAGAGACCTTTCAGGTGAGAGCCCCTCTGGTGGTGTTCAACATTAATGACAAGGAAACAAAGCTCTGGTCAGAAGCTTTTTTTATAAAAAGCTTTAACAAAATTAAGTATTTCTGTACATTTTGAATGCAATCTAACTTTCCAACTCAGAAAACGAAAAAGTGCCAAAAGTCTTCTCACATGGCTGAGCTGCTTTGCAATATACTTCACCACTGAAGAATACAAATATGTATAAAGTAAACTATGATGCAATCTAACTTTCCAACTCAGAAAAATGATAAAGAGCATGAACAAAGAACATGTAAAAACAAATGCAAAATTTGCACAATCTAAAATGAGAAACTGTAACTGCAAGTAACAAAGTCTGAACCATGGTAAAGAGTTACATTGAACACCAAGCTGATCAGATAACTCCCTGGTTGGTCTGAAGTCCTTCTATCTCCAGGATCTGTACAAATCGGCACATTATGCCAAAAGTCTTCTCACTGGGTGAGCTGCTTTGCAATATACTTCACATTGTTAGAAAAGGCTCCAGAAGGCCTTGGGGACATCAGTATCAGGGGCTGGAGCTGGACAGGCTCTTTCATCAGCACTTCTCCTTCCCTTTGCCAGCCAGGACCTCACATACTGTTCCGGATTGAACTGTCCTAGTGATGGTCCATTACATTTAATGAAAACCAGGCTGGACAGTCAGCTGACAGAGAGAGCATTCCTTTTTGCAGTAAGGATATCGTTCATGCAGCTGAATGCCCGCTCACACTCACTAGTGGAGACAGCGATGGTTCGGACTGCTTTCAGTAGAGGCTCCATGGCAGCAGGTGTACGGGATGCCCTGGTTTCCTTGTATTCGCGAAAGCCCTGAACAGTCTCTCTTCTGTCCACTTTCAGCACTTCGCACAAACGTAGCACCTCTACGTCCCCATACTGTACGTCTAACTCCTCTTCAGGCCAACTTCCAGGATGGATAACTTTCATGTCCTAGATTAGCTGATTGTCCCGGGCCTCCCGGCCATGTAATGGGATTTCTCTTGTGCTGACATGAGAGGAGGTTGTGGAAGTCATTCTGTGTCTCAGATTCTCTACCATACTGCGGAAAAACTGACCTGGATGAATCTGTACAAGCCTGCCATTCTCACGCAGGGCAACACCCTTGAAGGACTTCTCAGCTAGAGCTGTATGAACTGTAGTCATGTGTGGGCCAGGCATGGTGACCATGGATTCAAAAACTCGTATTTCTCGAGTTAAGAGCCTATCTGCTGTAGGCAGTGTCATCTCTCTTTTTTGGAGTTGCCGAGAGAGGTCGCTGAGCTCTGTGAGCGCATCGTACATCAGTCCCAGATTGCTGACAAACGTTGCAGATGTGAGCACATCATCCAGGCCCTTGTACTTTGCTCTGTCTCTGGAATCCCTGCTCGTGTCGTTTGCAGCATTTGTGAAGTGATCATGAAGCACTCGGTAGTTTTCCCAGACTGCTCTGACGCTCCTTTCACTTGAAGCCACCCAGCGGATGGACAAAACACGCCCTATCACCAGGAGACGCTGTCCGACTGCTTGCGCACACTGCGCTAACTGCCTCTGATTTTTGGGGGAGGCATGGAACAAGGAATAGAGTTTGTCAAAAAAGATCTGGAAATGATTGAGCCCCGAGACCTCCTTGACCACATCCCCAACTGCCAGCTCTAGACGATGATTGGAGCAGTGCCACACAAACAGGCTTGGGAATTTACTACACAACTGGGTAGCAACGCCTGTTCTCTTCCCTAGCATGACTGAAGCCCCATCACATGCAAAAGAAACGAAACACTGACCTAAAAAGTCCTCGTTAAAATCTCTTCCAAGACACTCCATTAACGCCTTTGTGATGTCATCAGCCGTTGTTCCATCCAACTCGATCAGCTCCCAAAAAAACGTTTCGGGCTCAGCATCAGCTAATGCTGAGCGTAGACACACAACAAGCACCGTTTTACCACTAATAGTGGTAGATTCATCGACCAAAACACAGAGTTTTCTTTGGTTTTCTGTAATGTCTTTTGCCATTTTTTTCTTCAGCTCATGAGCTATGTGGTCGATGATTTCGCCACAGGTTTTATTGGAGTGCAAAACCCTGCCCACGTTCAGCCCATTCAGTTTCTGTACATTCAAATCAATTGGCATGTCTGTGAATGGCCGGCTATGTTTGCCAATTTTATATGCGGTTCGAAAAACTCTGATAGTGGTGTCTAATTCAGATTTATGCATAGACTGCACTTGATGTTGAATAGTTTCACGTGAAGCAGATGTAAGGATGTCAGCAGCTTTTACATGGGCTTGTGATTCTTTATGTTCTTTGATTTTTTTTCTCAGGCTAGCTTGTTGTTTGCCCTTGTCAACACCGAAATGAGACACTGCACACTCACCCCATTCAGTTGACAGTTTCAGTCCTTGTCCAGTGTATTCCCAAAGATTTGACATCTCTGCATATCCGACATCCTAGCTTCTTATCTTTAAGAAGGAGCCATGCATTGGTCTTGCAAAAATATTGCACCTGGTCCGTTGTCCAGCAGTCAGGTGCATCGCTTTGCCCGGTGATGGTGGTGGCAGTTGCGCCAGCAGCAGCTAACGTTAGAGGCTCTGGAGGAGGCGGCGGAGCTAGTGCTAATGCTAATGCACTAGAACTTGGAGCAGGAGGATCAACCAAAGAAAGCTCCCCATCAGACACAATTTCCAACACAGGCACAGCATTCTCTGTATTTGAAGTTTCTTCCGGCGACAACCGCTGTCTTTTTGCACTTTTATTAATCCACGCTAACATTTTAGAAATGCTAATTTGTGACGTGACTTGCTTTCCTTCTCTCGGGGGCGTGCCTGCTCTGTTCTATCACTCTACATAGCCACCCACTGGGTGGGAGTTGCACTGCATAAACACAACACACGTGCATCTAGGTATGTAAATTGTAAAGCATTAAAACATGGTTTTACTAACAGTTTTCAGTATGTTGTTACTTCGACATTATTATTATTATTATTATTTTGAAACGTGTATTACTATTAAATCACGGTCAAATAGGTTAATTTTGACATAGTCGTTTCCACCACAGTATTTACATGGAGAAGATAAGCCCCGCCCCCTCTCCAGCACGTTCTGTTTGAATGACAGGAGTAAACAGCTGACAGCCGCTGTGAAACTCCAGCGGTTAGAGCGATGAGAATGTCCGTTCGGCACCTCATGACGCATCTACTGAGTACCGGGCGGCTGTATATATATATATGGATGTATAATAAGAACGGCGGGAGAG